TATTTTCATTTCTTTAAAAATCAAAAATTTATATGTATATTATGTTTTAAGCAATGAAATTGTTATAAGAAATTTAATCAAGATATCAATAAAGAATAAATTCACAAAACACTATTTTGAGATTACTTTAAAAAAGGTCAATGTAGTAAAAATTTCATAGTAATTCAATAGTTAATAAAACACTGAATTTGACGAGAAAAACATTTAGCACACTATTAAATTTAAACAAAAATACCATAATATTAATAGACAAATGCAATAGAGCATCAACACCATAACAGAAACTGGAACGAAAAGTTACATTTGAGATGATTTGCTAAAAAACAAATTAAAAAGTCCTTAAGTGAAGATTTTCGAACAAAAAGATTAGCGGTTTTGGTGTAGTGACAATAATAATATATAGTGGAACCCAAATTTTATGTTTTCCGTCAGGCTAGCAGTGAAAAATGCACCAAGCAAGATAACGTAAAATATGGGTAAGAAAAATGTAAGTACATTCTTCAAAAATTGACACTAACAAGACAAATTACTAGAAAAGAGGTGTAATCTTTACATATTTTTTAGTTTTTGGATACAATTTCAACAATATTGCTCTTAATACTTACTATTGTTTGTCTTATAGTTTGCATTAGCAAATGTTTTAGAGTTTTAATTCTTTCAAACTCCAGATCAGTTGTGGGTATACCCTCTGATATTTCGTGTTTATTGTCTTTGTTTTCATCACTATCATTGGCAGCAGCCGTCAGACAGACAATTCAATTTTAAAGGGCCAATGTTCCCATTTGGATACCGAGAAGCAATTAATCTAAGGAAGCTTTGTTAAACCCATTTGTAATGCATTTGAGTCGATGCATTTAAGTGGAAATCTAAATTCAGACCTTCCAAAAAGATTGTTTTTTCTTTTGAAGCATCTTGCATCGGAATCAAGAAAAAGAAATGATTTCCAAACCAATTCTTTAGTGTAACGTTCTTTAAATGTTTAAATAATTTAAAGATACAAAATTTGAAGTTTGGTGGTTAAATTCCACTCACAAATTTTACAATTAAAGTGTACGGATAATAAGATAGAACAGAAAAAATTTAAGAAAAGAAATTAAATGCTAATTAACAAGTATCTTTTTAAAAAAGAAAAGAAAATTCAGAAAAAGTTTGTGCGAGTTTTGTAGAGAAAAATGATTTTGATCTGTTAGAAAAATGTAGAATTTTCTTAAAAAGGATAATGTAAAATTTGAGATAATTTAATATTATCGGCATGGGAAATTTTCACTGACCAGGAGAAAATTATGCAAGAAGCGGGATAACATATGAAACAGACAACGCAAAACTGGGGTTCCACTGGTTTGCCTGAAAACCTGAAGTATACAACTAAAACAAAAAGGTAAGAATTTTAAAATCAAAAGTAGTTACTATTATTATCCATATTTTCAATTCATGAAATAATTTTCAAGCACGGCAAGACCTGAAAAAAAAAATATTCAATCGTTTAAAATAAATTGTATCACAATCATCAAAGTTAAGACATATTTATATAAATCCTTATACATTCAAATCAAATTAGTGAGTTCTTAAATAAAATAATTTTTTTCTATTTAGGCTATTTTAACTATTAGGGAGAATTCAATAAAATCAGCATTGGTAAATCTTTATCACATCTAATGCTTTAAACTTGAGAGAAGAAAAAAAAAACTTAAACTGCAAAATTTTTTTAAAACCAGTAAACTCTAAGGAAAGAAAAAAAAAATTAACAAGTGTCGGTAGTTAATAGATTTCAGAAAAACGTAAAAATTCAGCTACAGTGCTTGGCTTTGCAAAAAAACCTTATAAAAAAATCCTTTAAATGGTAGAGAAATTAGTATTCTGAATACGACAATATACAGGGTGTTTATAAAGTCCTGGACCCCTTTTGATGTTTAATAACTCATAAAATAATAAAGATAGATTAAAATTAATAACATAAATGGTTAGATAGACTCAAAAAGTAAATAAACTTCCACGTGCGCCCCCTTCATCGCACGGAGAATATCAAGTCGATTGTCAATTTCAAGCCAGGTAGCTTTCTTTTTTACAGAAAAGATGGTCTCAACAGTCGCAAACTTAAGACATGTTGGAAAACTGCGTATTTCCACAACTAGAAGAGCTTCAGCCACATGACTTTTTGCAACAAGATGGTGCACTAACTCATTGGGGTATCATTGTACGTAGTTCTTTGAATGACCATTTTCCAGGTGAGGAGGTCCAATTCCTTGGCCACCCAGATCACCTGATATTCATTTTCATTGGGGATTTATAAAGGATAATGTTTACAGGAGGATCGTGTCGAACATTGATGACCTAAAAGTCAGAATTACAACCGCAATAGCCTCTGTGGATGCTGACATGCTTGCCGCTACCTGGCGTGAAATTGACTATCGACTTGATATTCTCTGTGCAAGGAAGGGGGCACACGTGGAAGTTCATTGACAAGGGTCGTGAAACTTTTTGAGTCTATCTAACCATTAATGTTATTAATTTTAATTTATCTTTATGAGTTATTAAACATCAAAATTGGTCCAGAACTTTATAAACACCTTGTATATATACAATGATACCTCCTGTTGAGTACACTCCTGCAAAACGGACACCTCTCAATATGAGCATATTGTTGATTCCCTGTGAATCCTCTATGAATAAACCATTATGTACATTCTCCGCAAAGTGGACACTCCCATAACCGGATGCGTACAGTCACTTTTGCCTTGACATTATTTTTTCTGAACATGAAAAAAAAAAAAAGATTCCGAGGGAAACAAATATTCAACTTTTTCCCATTTTTAAAGAATGTACATTTTTTCCTTCTCCAAAACTAAAAATATTAAGCTATTTCACTACTAAAGAATCAATCTTTTTCCCGTCACGTTGCCTTATCTTTACAAAGAAAGGAGAGAAAATGATATTGCTCATTCAGACAACGGCATCTTTTGATCTGTTCATCTGGATGACACTTATGAGACCCAACAAGCTTAAATTACTTCTTCTCCACTGAAAATTTCTTTTACTTTCTAATCAATTTGAAAACTGTATTTAATGCAGCTGGAGTAAAAAAAGAGAACAGAAATATAATTTTTAAAATTCTCATACAAATAAAAACTTTTATTCAGACACTTATTAGATGAATGATTGTGAATATATAAACTCCATAGGTCCTCATGCCTTACAGGCAATCATTGCTTTCTTTTTTTCCCCTCTGAATCGTGGGAAGTTCACTTACAAGGAGGTATTAACCAGGTTTCTTATCAAGTGATAAGTAGGTGTTGGGGGATGTAAACCTAATAATTGAAGGCGACTGACGACTAAAAGCTCCTATTCGGTATCATATGTCTAACTTTAACAACTGCAACAGGCAACAACTGCTTAATAATTGCATTTGTAGTTTGTTATTCAAACTCTGATTGATCACATGTTTGCTAATGTTGATCACTAATAAGTGGCATAACCAGGTCTATGATTTTTTTATACACAGTTTGGAAACGTCGTCGGTCTTTAGACACAGTTAGTGTATTTTTGTCAGATAACAAATAGTATATGTACTTAAGCAGCAAAACACCAAAGAACTTAGAAAAATAGAAGAAATAACCTTAATTGGGAACGAAAAGTAATGCACTAAACTCATTTGCAGCGAGATATAAACTGATTTGTAGAACAAACGGGAAGACTCGAGGGGTTATTTTATGACCCCAGTAACTGATAAAACGTTAGTTGGGGGAGGAAAAATGCCGAAATTAACCTATAATTATTCAGAAAATGCAGATAAAAAAAATCAGCTACAAACAAAAGAGTGATGAACCAGTTTTTTAGGAATAAGAATTCATAAATTGCATGTTAAAATAACCATAAAAAATTTGCATTAAATCATTAAGTAATATAAGAGGTAAAGATATTTGTAAATTTAAAAAAAAATGTGTCAACATTTTAATAATAAATGTCATACAAAGAAAATGACAATTGGAACATATATTTATACATGAAATGTTTTTAAAAATTACTATGTTATTTCTATTACTTGAATAATTGCTAAGAAAAAATGATGCAATGCTGTGCTGGACAGCTTCAGTTTTGTTTATATTTACATCAGTTTGATAAACAGTTTAAAAATTAAACCGTAGAAATTTAAAATGTTAAACCACAGAATCATTAATTTTAAAAAAAAGGCAGTGTTCAGGCACAGAATCTAAAATTTATTAATTTTAAGGAACGGATTTGTTATTAATTAAATGGGATGAGTATTTAAAAAAAATCGCTTCAGAGTGATATACAGAAAAAGGTAGTCGGAAAACACTTTTGCCGCATTTCAAACTCATAGTTCCGGGTAAGAAAAAGGTAAATAAATAAACTTTATCTCAAACAAATAATTAAATTTTAAACGCAGAGCTATAAGCGATAAGCAGAGAGCTCGCAGCACCTAACTATACTCAATACTCAAATAATTTTTAAAAAGTTTAAATCTACAATGCAATAAGTTACTACAGAAATACCAGTTTTAAAAGTAGAAAATCGTGTGATCTGAAAATAAATGTTTAATTCCGCAGAACTAGCATGTCGTAGAATTGGCAATTTTTGTTTAAGGATTCTTGATGTTTTGTACAATCGTCATTTATGAATCTATCTTATTTAAAAATTGAAAAACATTTAAGATAGTATTATTATTTGACATATCAACTATTGGTAGTTGAAAAAATATATTTCATGCTATTTGCTACGAAGTCTGTACGACGATATAGTTGCTCATGATTAGAAGAAAAAAAAAACTAAGACAAGTTATTGAAGTTTATTTTCTTAAGAAATTAGTTTCAGTAGATTTATAAATTAAAATAAAAACTCTGCACTTTTTTATTAAATTATCCTAATAATTTATAATTGAAAACTGATGTAAATTTCTTAAAATGCTTGATAGATTTAGGTCAATACAAATCAGTAGTAGGTTGGACAGTTCCTCCCTGATTCTAATTGCGCCAACTATTAATGAAAAGATTTTTTCGTATCTGTAATTGTACTAAAAAAAAGAAGGGGAGAAAAAAGCTGTGCAGTGGCATGTGAGAAACAACAAAAAAATTAACAGAAAGGGACCAACGCCAAGGGTAACATTTGTAGCCATTATAAATGTATTTTCAAAGATTATTTATGATTACAGGAATTAAGAAGTTTAACTTGGTGATTTTAGACGAAGCACGTTTGAAACAGATACCAGTTATGAAAATGCCCTCCTCAACTCAAAGGTGCTAAAATGCCACAGGCTAGTTCTTATACTTGCAAATAATATTTTGTTAAAAAATACATGGGTAATAGTTTAATATTTGGTTGCTATGAGTTTTAACTAGAAGATTTCCACATCGGGATCTGTAGCAGAATAATCGTCAAGCCTTGGCAACAGCAACAAAAAAAAAAAATACTAAAAGAACATCAAATCTGACTGAAAGTTGCCCACTGGTAAATCTGTATGTGCTTTTTTTTAAGAAATAAAAAAATAGCAAATTTAAAATCTATTTAATGTCTTATCGATTGTAGCTGGTGCGACAGATTACGATAGGGAAATATACGTTTTACCCTTCACATTCAATCCATTACTGTATATTTATTTTTTAGTTTCAAACGTGTCTCGCCAGGTTGTTGGCAGAATTTAGAGGGCATTTTTGCTAAGTTTAAAATTTTCACTCATAAAGTATCTTCCTTTTATAAATATCATGAATGAAATTATTAAGTTCTTACCAGATTAATTGATAAGTTTTTAATATTATTAAAACAAAAGATAGTCATTACTTGATGAATAAATAAGTAATTAAAGGTACATAGCATAGCAATGTATAAGGATTCGTGATATTGTTAACTTTATAATTCTCTATTTCAGATATTGAAGTACTTAGAATATCATTCTAAAAAGAAAGCATAAACTATATGAGGTGAAACTTGATGCAAATGAACACTCTCCAACTTCAATAATATTGGGCTTAAAAAATATTTTGTATTTTAGGGGTTAAATTTAATAAACAATATGTAGTTCATTTTATTGAATTTGCCTGTATATTTCTATGTTTAATAGTTTTATTGACTTATAGAGGTTGAATTTTTATATTTTAGTATTAATTATATTTTGTCTGTTTTTAGCCAATATAATGAAGTTGGAACCTATCTGGAGTTTTTGCTTTATGCAAAACACACTAGTATTTTCATGTTAATAGAGTATTTTTCTTATTTCAATAATTTAGAAACTGCATTTTAGCTATGTAATGTACTTTAATTTTAATTGAAGAAAGTTTTACAAGTATGAAGAATGTAAATTTGAAATATTGTATTTAATTTTAAATCTGTTTTATATATTTGCAACATTGATAATAAATAGGCATATAACAAATTTTTCATGTTTAAAAAATTATTCAACATTACTTGCACTGATAAATTGAATTAGTTTTTAGGAGCTGACCTAAATTTAATGAATTTTAGTGACTTTTGTCAAAAGCTCAATATTTCATCCCTAAACAATTCACTGTGTAATGTAGTTTATATATATATATATATATATTTACTGGTTTAGGATTATCTCACTCTCATTATCTTTACAGGTACTTTTAACAAATGCATCAAAATGAAACATAATTGTTGTAGTCTTTATATAATTTAGAAGCTTTCTTAGACTTTAAGTAAAATTACTACCTCAATAATTTGAAGTTCATTCAATTTTTTTTATGATCAATCTTACATGAAGGTCATATAATGAAAGATTATACAATGGAACCACAGTTTCACGGTGTCCGTTTCATATGTTATCCTGCTTCTTGCGTAATTTTCTCCTGGTCAGTGAAAATTTCCTATATTGATAATGTTGAATTATCCCAGATCTTGTGTTACTGTTTTCAAGAAAATCCTGCTTTCTACATTTTTCTCTGATCAAAATCCATTTTTCTGCACAAAGCTCGCACAAACATTTTCTGAATATTTTTTTTAAAAAAAGATACTTGTTTATTAGCTGTTGGTAGCTTTTCTGGTATTCTTTCTATTCTATATTTTTATCTGTGAGATAGGATTTTACCCTTGAGTCAAAATCAGATGTGTGGTAGGATGGGCAAACCACAGGAAGAGTTTTTGACGAAAGTATGGGAGCTTAAATTGTAAGATTTACCAGTNTTTTTTTTTTTTTTTTTTTTTGCAGCTAGCTTCAGTATTTGAATCTTGGAATTATCCAATCATTTAAAGAGCGCTACCCTAAACAACTGGTTAGGTAATAATTTTTTTTCTTCCTTGATTCGGGTGACCTGCAAGATGCTTCTAAATTAAAAATAAACATTCTGGAAGCTCTGAATTTGATTTCTACATCTTTGGACAGTGTCGACTTAAATATATTACAAACGAGTTTAAGAAACTTCTTGGGATTAGTTGCTTCTTGTTATCTAAAGGAAAAAATTGGTCCTTCTGAATAAAATTACGTCTTAGAAGATATTTGGAGGGCGACAGCGAGTATATTATTTGCTACTCACATCTCATTTCAATATCTGATTTAATGCCTACTCCCAATGATAGTGATGAAAATATTGAAGATGAGTGAAATACTTCTAAGGATATCCCCACAGCTGATCAAGAGTTTCAAAGCATAAAAATTCTGATACAATATTTATTTGCTAATGAAAACCAAACATAAAAAAATTTGCAATCAATTGTAGATATTGAGAGAGATATTGTTGAAATTATATCTAAAAGCTAAAAACATGTTAAGATTAGACATTTTTTTCCAGTAGTTTATATTAGTGTCAATTTTTGAAAAAATATACTTGTATATTTTTTTACCCCGATTTTACATTATCCCGCTTTGTGCATTTTTTAATGCTTGTCCAATGGAAAATGTAAAATTGGGGTTCCACTACGTATTATTTATATGTGTGTGTTTCTTAAATCATTGTTCTATAAAATTGTTGAAATGTCAATTTTTATTAATTTTGTGTATACTTTACATATATAGAATTCACATTGATTTTTGTGTTCGGACATTGGGTAGGAATTCTTTCTCATAATTTGTTTTTAAGTAACATATATTTACTTACATAAATTCAAAGAACTTTTAAGTTAGTTTAGTCTATTAGAAATGTTTCCATTTATAATTTTATGTTATGTAACTAATTTTATGTTATATGTTCCTAATATTATGTTAATTAGAAATAGTTATATAGTACTCAAAGAAGGAATTAAAATGTGGTAAAGATTTATTTCAATTATTTATATATATTAAATGATCTGAAAATTTTTGTGCCATTTTTATATTTTTGTTTTTGTAATTCCTGCATGTTTAATAAATTAAAAAAATTTTAAGTTCTTATCCCTTTAAATGTAATGTTTTCTTATTTTCTTTAGTCACCGATGGAGACAAAACTGTTGAATCTTATAGTAATAATAATATGAAAAAATTCATCTGCTTCAATCAAAAATAGGCTGAATGATAGGAATCTTTGGCATAAATTTGATTTCCACATTGCCAAAATTCCTTCCTCTGTAATGCTCAGAAAACTTGTTTCATTCATATGAATGTTTATTCCACAGTTAGCAACTTGAATTCTTCAATTTATTAACACGATAGGTGCTTATAAGAGAAATTGCAACAAAAAGATTAAAGTCTGCGTCATCTAGACAAATGAGTTAGGGTTGAGTACCTGTTTTGTCATTCTATCTCTCTTGGCTTGATTGTTTTGACCATAACAATAAAGTAATGTAACATAATGTGAGAAGCGGCAAAAGAAGAAAGAAACGGGACAAATAATTAGTATAACTCTATTAAAAATAAATTATGAAAATATAATGAATAAGAAGAGTTGGTTTTTATTAATAAATAAATTAAGTTGGTTTCAAAGTGGCCGCCTTTTGCTAAGATGTAAACGTGTATTGAAATTTTCAACAATGGGCCGCAAGTCTTCTACCTTTTATCGATCCCTTACTTTAGAGAGTTTAATGTTCTGTGTATAGAGCAAACTAATGATTTCATACAGTTGTTTTTCTTTGCTTAACTCTAAAATAGGATCTTTTACTTAATGCTATAAAAAGTCCACAAAAAAAATTGTAAACTAAAACATTTTATAAATAAAGTGGTAGAAAATATTATAATTATAAAGAAATTAGTTAATTTCTATTCTATGAGGCAATTACTTTGTGAATTTGAGTTCCTTTACTTATATATTTGAACATATTCTTTTTATTTTATTTTAAATGAGGCTCAGATCCTGCTGGGCTTGGCTTTCATGTCAATTTGTGTTCTAAATTCCATATTTTGATATTAGGGATTCATTTTTCTAAATAAAATATCCTAATTTATGTTAATTATTACAACATAAGTTTAATTGTTATTTTTCGTTAATGTTTTAATCTCATTTATTTCTTTATGTCATTTTAAGTGTGAGACATGCTAACTGATTATTTTCCAACATTTAAATAAATTAATATGTCATTTTTTCCCCCATATACCTTTAGGTTTCTTGGACACTTATGACTCTTCCATTCCATATAATAAAAGATCTAACTGGAGACGATCTGAAGATCCTAGTAAGAAATATAAATGTACATTATGTAAATACACCACCGATATGGCCAAAGATCTTAAACGACATTTTCTTACTCACACTCAAGAGAGACAATTTGAGTGCACGGTCTGTGGTAAAAGGTTTATTTTGGCTCATCATTTGAAGAAACACTTGAAAAGTGTGCATTTTCAACTTGTTTAATGTATGTACTTATCTATATATTCCCTCTCATGGTTTATTTTAATAAAAAGGAATTCCACTTTAATACTGAATCATCTTTTTAGATTTGCTGATTTTGATTTAACTGTTTATTTTTATTTTGGTATTTAGTTTTCAAAACCAACTTAAACCGCACTAAGAAGTTTTTGAGAAAATCATGTAGCATGTTTCATTTCACCATGAACTAAATAGACATTTTTGATAATAACAAAAGAAGAACTGATGGAGATATCTAAATAAATTTAAAGAAGCCTAACTCAGTTACGCAATTTTCAATAAATTCTGAAGAAACAAATACAAAAAAAAAATTTTAAAAATAATTAGAATTTTCAGTACTAATATTATATATGTCCTACACTATAGATCAGAGGCATAGTACTTCAATAAATGCAACATGAAAAATTTTAAGTATTTATTAACGCTAGTTTAAGATGGGTAAATCAGTTACGCAATCATCAATCAGTTACGCAGATATCAAGTGGTTCCATAAAATTTGTAAAGCAAGAATCCCTTAAACAGGAAAACAGAAACCAATTGATCTGGATATTAAAAGATGTAAATGGAAATGAATTGATCATGTTCTATGTAAACCTTGGAAATTTAAAGTAAAACAAATTTTTAATTGGATCCCTCTAGGCTTTAGAAAAAGAGGAAGACCCAAAAATACTTGGTGAAAAAGATTATAAATGAATTAAAAACAATGGGCAAGACATAGGTGGCAAAATATCTGGCCACAAATAGAGTGAGATGGAGAGCTATGATAGCTGCCCTATGCTCCGATTCAGAGCGAAGAGGAATATGTATGTACATGTTCAAAATTGCTAGAAGTTAAAACTTTAAGTATAGTATTAATTTTAAACAGTGTTTAGTGCACAAGGAGATATTACCGTGAAATAATTTTTATTTGTAACTGATTTTTGTATTTAAAATGGATTAAGTTGGTTTTAAAATTAAATAAATAAATTTTAAGCACTTATATGTTTATCTAATCACTTAGTAATGATTAATTAAAAAATTAACTATGACTATTTTTATATTTATTAATTTCGCAATATTTTCAGAAAAACGGTTTTTTAAGACATATTAAGAGCTTATTGAATAGTTACTAATTATTGATATCTGAATGCACATTTATGTATATTTCAATGTAAAAAAAAATTAGTATATATCTGTTAAAAAAGGTATTATATATTTTTGTATTTCTGAAAAGAAAATGATTTGAAATTATTAAAGCTTATTTATGATTTTCTGTTGCACGAAGTACATTAAATGCACAATAAATTTTCAGTTGTAATTTTAATTCTACATATTTGAATGTTCAGAATGGATAAAAAAGCATATATTTTAGAGCAAATAATACTTTAAAAATGTAAAAGTCTTGTCATATTTGTCATAAATATTTATTTATAATCTTTTTTTTTTTCATTTCATTGTAAAAAAGTTCACAGTAACATATTACATAAAACAATTTAAAGAAATTTTTTTAAGAATGGAAATATTGAAAAAATATATTTTAAGTGATATTATGAAGAAAAAGAGTTAATTCTGTAATAATTTTACTCGGAAAAACTGTATTTTCTCTAAGGTCACGATGTTGAAGTATTCTACTTTTTTATTGAATAGAATTTGCTCAGATTTTTTATTTTTCTAAATTTAGATTTAATGTAAAAGATAATTTCTGTCATTTTAATCATCCCGAAATTTTATTGACTACATTTTCTACTGCATATGGAAATGAAACATATACAAAATAAAATTGAAAAAAAAAAACTATTTGAAAATTGAAAAATGCATATAAATGAAAATTTTTTTTAGTTACTTTCATTTTTTATAAAATTGTACATCAAGATATAAATAATGTCTCTTTTTTTCTTTTTTTTTTTATACGTGGTTCTATTTGAAACTTGGGAAAATTTCTTACAGAATTGCAGCTATCACTTGAATGGTTAAGTATACTTTATATACTGACATGTTTTTAAATTTTGATTATTTGTTTCCAGAAGAATGTCATGGGTGTTATGCAAACCTTAGGTTGTATGCATTTCTGCATTTTTTTCCCATTCGAATATATTATATTTTGATTCTTTTTAAATGAATATAAAATTTTAAATTTTCCTAAATAATATTTTTTTTTAAATTTTTTTATTAAGTGTTTATTTTACTAGATAAGATTTTCATGGTTAACTATTCACTATTTTTGTACATTATTTTACAAACCTGGAAAATTTTTATTTGTCATTTTATGTGTGTGATTTTGTATTTTTAATTTAATGTTTAGTAAATACCACTTTTGGTTTCCTTCTTTCAGGAATGCCCCTTTTACAATATAATTTTTTTCCTCTTTTTATTAGAACTTCATGGTGAACTTTTTGTGTAAATAGTTTTACAAACCTAGAAAAATTTTATTTGTCATTTGATATGTGCAGTTTTGTACTTTTAATGTGATACTATATAAATAGCATTTTTTTTTTTTTATTTGAATGCACCTTTTCTTTTGCTATTAGAACTTCATTGTGAACTTTTTATGTAAATAATTTTATAAACCTGGAAAAAATTTTCTTTCACTTGTGTGATTTTGTACTTTTAATGTGATACTATGTAAATAGAATTTTTTTTTAATTTCAATACACCTTTTACAATGTCTAATTTTTCCTCTTGCTATTAGAACTTAATGGTGTTATACTTTAAGTGTACATTATTTTACAAATTCGGAAAATTTTTATTTATTATTTTATGTTTGTGGTTTTGTTCTTTAATGTGACACTATGCAAATACCAGTTTGGTTTTTTTCTTTCCAATATGCACCTTTTGAAATTTTGTCACTTTTTACTCATATTAAAATAGATATAATAAATAACTGAATAATGTTGACTAACTAACCAGCAATATTTTTATATATACTTTTTATTACAATCAATGAACTGTTGTTTTATTTTTAAATTTAAAAAGTTTAGAGAGATGAACATTTTAAATTTAACTTTTTATTTTAATTTTTTATTTAACTATTTTGATATGTTGTTTCATGATCACAAGATTTTTATTAAGACCATTAAGTTTTAATAACTTTCTAATTTTTTAGAGTTAGATTTCATTTCATTGTCAACTTTTGAAACATGGCATAAATATTATGAGAATATATTAACTATTTAAATATAAATATCTATTAAAATAACTATTTAAAAATAAAATAAATATTTAAATATAAATATCTTTATCGTATAACTTTCAGAAAAACAATAGTTACATTTATTTAAAAAAACATTGGAAGATTATTGTGGGTTTTGTTGATAGTTTAATAAATTTGTAAAAATCAGCTTTAAAATTTTTAGATGCATCAAGAAGCTCTTTATAAAATCAATATGAAAGTGTTTTTAAAATTTCACTTAATGTAGAAATTTATAGTGTTGCATGTTTATGGAATTCATATGTTCTGGCATAACCTGCTGATTCATTACTCTAACTACAAAAATGTTTCATAAAATTGTAATATTGTTATTTCAGAGATTGTTTTTACAAAAATAGTTGTTAGACATTATTTAATTTATTACTTATTTGAAAAAATAGCTTTGAAATAATTTAATGATATTATTTATTTATTTTTTCTAAATGCAACATAGAGATGTAAAGGAAAATGGAATCTAAAGAAACATCATTTTTAAGGAACAATCATTTCTAAAAATGTGTTTATTACATTTTAAACATATACATATTGCATAAATAAGAATATAATAATAGAACATTTAAATGATCTTTTTTTAATGACTGATGAAATTCAATCACTGGGAAACCATGTTATGGGCACTCCTGCAAAATTTTACAAAGGGCAAAAGTGGACACCATTACATCATTTTACAGCAAGTAAGTTTTTACTTTGGCTTATCCATAATTAAAAATATTATTAAGCTATTTCACTACTAAAGAATCAATCGTTCTTTTGTCACCTTCTTTTATCTTTGCATAGGAAGAAGAATATATAATACTGCTGGTATGAAATATTTCAGGCAGCATCTTTGGATCTTTTCATTTGGACAAAACGTGTTATTGACCCAACAAGTTAGAATGATGCATTAAATACTTTCAATTCCCCTTCCACTGAAAATTCCTTTCCTCTTCTAATCAATTTGACCCCTGGACTTAACACAACTAACCTAATCGCATAAATCTAAATAAATAATTAGACAATTTCAAACTGTAACAGTAAATTTACAATTAATTTATGTCATTTTGTTTTGTTGGACAGAAATACGTTTTACAGATTATATGAGATTTTCAGCAGAATTCTAGTCCATTTTCATTTGTGAGAAATAGTAACTTTAAGTTAGATTGTTATGTGTTTGAAGTATCAGTTTATAGAGTAAAAAAAAAAAAAAAATTATATTAATTATACAAATTTACTTAAAACAGAAGAATTTCATAATTAAAATAATAATTTCATGCACGTTTGGTCCTTTTTCTTGTTTTCCCACTAATATATGCAGAGGCATGGTATGAAAGTATTCATAATAAAATTTTAACCAAATTAGTAATGCATATTAATACGTACATGCAATTCTGTATTTTAGTGCTTTTTTTAATCTAACTCTTTTTCCACAATTATCTAAAATACAGAAATGAAATGTTGAGAAATTAAAATCATCAGCCCAGATCTGTCAGCGTAGATATATTGTATTTCTCCTGGCGTCTATAAATTATTTATTTTTCAAATTCGGCACCAAAGTAATCTGTTTGATAAGCTGTCAATTTTCATGTTCTTTCAGTAACCTATGTACTTCACGTGTTTTCGTTTTCTCCTTTCTGAAATAGTAAAATTAATTCAAATTAGTTTTCTTAAGAGATGTGTTATTCTTGAAAGCCAGTTTTTTGTTTCTAATTTTTTAGTTATGCCGATTTTTTTAAAGAAAAAGAAAAAAATATTTTTTGATTTCCAGCTTTGTCTAATAGTTTGAAAAATTGCTTGTTGGCGTTAAAAACAGTAAACGTAACAGATTTGTTCCAATCTATAAATATTCTGTATGGAAAAGGCCTTTTATATTTCCTAACAGCTGGCTTAAGATTTTTTCCAATTTTTTCTCTCATTTGCTCTAACTTTAGGAAATAATTTATTTACATCCTCATTACACTATAAGAAAATTTCTATTACTTCAATAGAAATATTTAATTTAGTATGAAAACAAACAATTACACAAATTTTGTTTTATTAAAAATTACTACCACCTAGCACCATTTACCCCCTTTGGTGATGTCCCTGTATGTGTAAGTATATATAAATAAGAAAGAAGCTTCTATAAAGCATAATTTTTGGAACATAATTATGTGCATCAATTTTTAGTCTACATAGAAATATTTCAAATTTTTTAAAAATCTATTGCAAAAATACTTTTTGAAGTAAAAGGAATAAAATTTACATTAATAAAAATTCTATATTTGACAGGTTCATCCATTCTACAAATTAGAATGGAAAAATTGGTGCCATTTCCATCATTTGCAAGCCCAGTTCTTCGTCGTTTCAAATGTTCTTACTGCCCCTATTCATCTGATGTATCAACAAATCTGAAGCACCATATACTTAGACACACTGGTGAAAAAAATCACAAATGTGAAACTTGTGGTTCACGTTTTACATTAAAACATCATTTAAAAAAGCACATGCAGCTCCATCTTTTATGACATGTCTATCTTTATTCATCAAACTGTCTTTATGTTAAAACATTGTTTAAATTTTTAATGTTTTTTCCACTTAAATAATTGTTTTATTATGTTAATATTGTTGATTATGATCTTTATTTTTTTTTTTAAAGTAGAATTTTTAATAAATAAATATTTAAACTTGTGTTATGATTAAATGTATGCTGAAGTTTACCTATAACTTCCATTTACAATATGAATACTTAATATTCACAGTATGAATACTTAATATTCACAGTATGAATACTTATTATTCACAGTATAAAAACTTAATATTCACCAGCATGATGTCTGGAATGATGTACAAGTTTAAAGAAATTTTTATTTATTCAATTCACATAAAAAAAAGTTTTACATTTGAAGGGCTATGGTCAATATAGAGATAAGCTACACTTTTTCCAAAAGCAATGTTTTAGATAAAACTGTGTCTTGGCATTATTTCCAGTTTAATATTTTACAAGTTTTAGAAATTTTCACTAGATGACACAATACACAGAAACATCCTATCACTTACATGAAAATTGTGTTTTTTTTTAACACTAACACTGTTCTGAACAATTTGAAAATGTGGTTTATTATTATATAGCGCCATACTCTTCATTTGAAATAATCAATATCTCGCTAATCCACAAATCTTGTATTTAGCAACATAATTTTTTCTCTTTAAATGTGTATAATAAATAATTGTGTACAAAATAGAATTTGAAGAAAGAGATTTATACTACTGAATTTTTAACTTATTATCTGAATTTTTTTTTTTATTTAAAATGAGTAATTTTGTGAAAAGTGTAATTTTTTCCTGACGCTAATTTTTTTATTTTATTTATTATTTGTAAGAGAAAAGGTTTACCAAGTTACTTAATAAAGAAAAAAAAATCTGAAATTCTTCAAGAAAGCAATAATTAAAGCAATTTAGGTATTACCTTGATATATTCATAACATAGTTTTCAGTTTCACTTATTTAGTAAAAAAAAAAAAATTCTAACTAAAGTCATGTTTTTTTTTTACTTGTGTTTTAGTAAAATGTGTTAACTTATAAATAAATCTTTAATACTACTTGGATAATGATAGCATTTTATATTTTTTTGAAGACAATGCTGTGTGTAATCTTAATTGAAAACAAAATGCTCAAATCAGAAAAAAAAAAAATTTTCAAGTATGCAATTAATAAAAATATTAACATTTTTATCTTCCAGAGATTGATATTTCATCATTGCAATAAAGTTTATATCTATTCATTTTACTTTTTTGTGCATAAATTGTATTAATGTTGATTTGATTATTTTTATATTGATTTGAATATTTTTATTACATCTATTTCAATCAATAATTTATTCCTTGAATAAAGCATTTTACTTTTATATTAATAAATATTTTTATGAAATAATAAATACTTTTGTTAAATAAATTTATTAAAACATGCTTATAGATTATAAAGTTGTTTTAAAATAATTTTATTATATCATTAAATAGTAATTAATAGTAATTTTAAATAAAATAAGTTTATTATATCATTTTTCTTTGTTAACTCTTAGCTGTTAATTCAATTACTCAGTTTAGATAGCTTATAACACAGTTTAGATTAGGAGTTTATATAGCCTATAATACAGTCAGATAATTTTACTCCATTGTAATCTTTTTTTATTATTATTATTAGTTTATGGCATGGTTAAGAAATATTTGTACAAATTTGTTTGCGATAATTATTACAAGACTGTCACACTTTTTCAATTGCAACCTTAAAGGAAAAATTCTTGAAAAACTGTAATTATTAATTTATTTTAATGTACTTGATAACTAGGTTCAAAACCTAAAATTATATTACTTAACTGATTAAAACTCAACTTATTACAATTGTTTATGAAAGACATCGTAGAAAAAAATTGTTGTCAAAATTATTTTTCGTATAGAAAGTAGTAAAAAATAGTTTAGTCATAATTCTTTTTTTTTAATTATAATTGGTGTGAAAATTAAAAAGTTTTACATAAAATTAATAAATTCTATAGAAAATCAGTTACATTCATGATAAATTGCAAGGAAAATTTCTTAAATGTTTTAGTTGATTTGCAGATGCAAGCAAACACCTGCATTGCTTTGAAAATATTTATTAATCGTCAACTTTTCTAACATTTGTCTTATAGAGCTTAAATCTGTAGTTTAGAGTTTTCAAATTTAAAGGAAAAGAGATACACTTTTCTTGCATGGATTATAAGAATGCATGCAAGTTTAGCGCTTTCATTCTATGAATAGGATAAACCTTCAATTGCTATAAAAATGGTAATACCTCATTCATGATTTTCAAATTAATTAATAGCACAAACTGTGTTTCTGGTCATAATCAATTTTAGTTTCATATATTTTCTATCATTATTTTTACATCTTATATGCATTCAGATAAAAGATATACCAGATATCAAATATTTGCCAAGAAAAATTTAAATTTATTTTTTATTTATCAGAGGTGATTGGGAGCCCAACTCAAAAATCCAGAAAATTTCTGGAGTAAAATAATCAATGACGCATTTCAAAAAATTAATGTCTGTATCAATATTTTCAAAATATGAAATTCTAAATAAATTATATGGAGCATAATTTAAATGAATAATTATGTATAAGTATACTTTAATCTCTAACACATTTTTTATTCTACCGGAAAAAGTATTTACAAATGAAAGAGAGGCCAAGTATAAAATCTAGTTCTAATATTTTTAAATAAAATAAATATACAAGAATTTTTATACATAAATGTGATCGATGATTTCCGGGTCAGGTTTAACGAAATAACTGGAAATCCGGATTTTTTCAGAGCACAATCATCTCTGATTTATTTATTACTGATGCTGGGTAGTGAAATTTTAGTTGTTGATAGGCTATCCAATACCTGAAATTCAAATTTTTCTGCCTATGAATGTTTTTAACGTAGAAACATTTCATACTTATTATTTTATACATATGCAATTATTTTATCTTAAAATTTATATTATTAATCTGACTATATAATTATAAACTTTATTCAAGTAGAAAAGATCATTTCTCTTTCATTCGTTTCTTATGTTTTATAGATGCTATTTGAATAAATGTATCTTCATACTTATGCATTCTAATTAATGTATCTTACATTCTAATAAACTTATGTCTATTTTCTTTTCAGAATCAATTCTAACAATGCAACTGGACGGTTATATAATAAATCGGAGAACAAACGTTAAGCGATCAGAGGATCCTAGCAAAAGATATAAATGCACTTATTGTAAATATACCACTGATATAGCTAAAGACCTAAAAAAACATGTTCTTACTCATACACAATTAAGGAAGTATTGCTGTACAATATGTCATAAGATGTTTTTATTGTCTCATCATCTTAAAAAACACTTAAGAAATGTTCATTCCCAACCATTGTGATTGCCTATTGAATATTGATTTAATCATAGAACCCAAACTCAGCTTGGAGGACCTAGTTGCTTTCCCTTTCATTATGTTGTACTCACTAACATTTTACTCCATTCATTCTTGCAACTCATTTATTCACTTATGTTTTATTCTATGTAAAACAAAACTCAGCATGAAAGCTTGATAGTTAAAACAGTTTTATTATATGTATTTTTATTGGTTTAGTTGTTAATAAATGTTTTTGTATTTAGAAGAGTAATTTCTCTTTTACTTGATTATTTCATATCATATTTTCAATTTTCCCTAATAATTTGTATTTCATTTTGGCAAAGGCAAGTTTAAAAAGAAATTAACCTTTTCAAACGCAGCAAAGTAACTGTCTCATTCATTTTTGATAATATAAACTAAAAGATTGTAAGTTAATCTTTTTTTTTTAATGTGGTGTTTAATCAATCACTTTAAATGTTCTCTTCTTGTCTAAACTTTTGGCTAAACTTTTTCTGCCCCATTATAATAATGTTAAGTGGTGTTAGAAACTTATGTATTAAGTCACTAACTATAACAATCACATTTCATTTTCCTAAGTACAGTACAGAACCCATTATCCGGAAATCAGAAAACTGGAACAAAATTCGATAAATTTTCCGGCCATTTTTTTAAAACTTTTTTTATTTTCCTCATAAGATTTCAGAACTTTTCGTTCTTTTTTGAAAGATATTTACCTTACCATCATTTTGGAAATAATCATTAGTGTATTACTTCATTGTTTTTTCTTCCTTNTTAGCGAACATTTTTTAGTTGGGTTTAACAATAAAAAAAGGCTTTTTGTAGCGATTCAGAAAACTGGAAAAATCAGTTATCCGGAAAAGCGATGGTCCTGATCGTTCCGGATAATCGGTTCCCTACTGTATATTTGATCAATTTGAAACTTTTGTCTTAAGACTCAAGCTTCAATCACAATCTCCCATTTTTTTAGTTTAGGGTTATACATGTACTCTAAACACATGTTACTTGAGTAGTCCTAAAGTAAGTTTTTAAACCTTCATTACTAAAGTAATGAAGTATGTAAAACAAAGAATTGAATAAAATGTGGGATATTGCTTAATTTTTATTGTAATATAGAAGAGAAAAAATTAGGTTATTTTTGAGGTACCATACAAATAATATCTTTTGGAATTTAAATTAAAAAGAATTTGCTGAGTTAAAAGTTTTGCAGAACATAGATTGTGCATAGTGGAAACAAGGTATTTTATTTAAATAGTTCAAATAAATTGTGTTTAAAGCTTGATGATATTTTACGATTGGACACAAAGAGTGCTTATTAAGGGTCAGCAGACAGAAAATAATTTCTCTGTGTTAATTTTTGGAAAATATATTAGTACAATTTTCTCATTAAATTTATATTTTTGAATAATTCTTTTTGTTCCATCTTCTTTATTAAAATGTGTTCCATTAAATCTAGTTCCAAATTTTAAGAGCCAGCAAAATAGTAATTAACTTACCAACTTACAAGACATATATGAAATTTTTCTCACCAACAAAATATTTTATAATTATTTTCAAATATTTTATTATATAAATTTATGTGTTTGATTGAACCTGGATTTGAAATTTCAGAAGTGTACCAAATTCTTTTTAGATCTTTAAATTACAACTTTAAAATCACTTCCAAAATTTAAAATATTAAGAAAGAAAGAAAAATCTATCAAGAAATAACCCCTTATTAAATTTAAAAAAAAAAAAACCTCACGTTAATTGCACAAACTATGAAAATAAATCAGATGCTATAACCTGGATGCCTTCTTAATTTTTCCTCCCACAAATGCTACCTTTATTTATCTTTATGCAGTTAACCATATGCATGTTTCACTGCCCAGACCAATCTCAAAATTTGTTTTTAAACGGAAAAGAATAAAATTAAAAGAACAACTTTTAAAATTAACTTTTTTTAAAGCACATAGTCTTCAAAAAGTAAAGTTTATGATAATAAATTTATAGTTTTAAAAAAAAAAATCGATTCTCTAAAATCTGTTCAAGTACTGCATAAATTGCAGTGTTCTGATTTCTAACTAAACATTGGCTGGAAGGTAATCGGATACAGTGAGTATGCATTATCACATTATCTAGATGGCTTTCTCTGGATAAAACATTTATGAATTAATGGTCACAAGCATACAGACTTTATAAACATCAACAAAATAATATTTTTTATGAGAAAAAAAAGCTAGTGGTACATGAATAATGTGAACTATAATGCATGAAAAAAAAATAGATAGTAATAAAGATAGTAAAAAATAGAGTAGTAATGATTTAATTTATTGAGATAAAAGTTATTTTATGATACTTCCAATGCACAATTGAACACATACCGAATCTATGATAGTATAATAATAAAAAAATTAAATTGTATTTTATTAAAATGAATTTAATATGATTTACAAAATATGGTCTGATCTTCGCAGCATATGATATCATTGATTTATTCAGGATGTGGGAAAAATTGCATTGATTGTTAAATGGGGGAGGAAGGAGGATAATTTCTCAGTTACCATCATTTGCTCTTAATATCATGTATTTTGCAGTGATTTTGGTTTCTTTGCAGTGATTTCTTACAACATCTTACATTTCTTTTTGTGTTGGGGATGTGTTGCTACAAATGACAAATAATGTTATTGGATTTTTATTTACAATTCACAGGTTGTAATAATATCCTATTTGAAATATCCATATTTTAAAAGTGAGAAGTAAGTCAAGATAACAAAAAAAAATTTAAAAAATGAATAGTAAAACTACAAACATTTTACAATTTAAACACTGCAAGTTGAGCACATATAAAAAAGATTAACTATGACTATAGATCTAATAAAAAGCAATTTTTCAACCAAATTTCCCTTTTGTTTTTAAATACTTGCTTAGTTAAAATAAATGCTAACATTTTACATAAATATTAAAACATAAAATCTTTATTTATATTTTTTAATTAAAATAAAATTTTAATAAAAAAATTATATTTGTCAATTTACTTTATTCTATAATTTCAAGAAATTTTTTTTGTTTTTTTTTATATCAATAAATCAGTGAAAGTGTAAGAACAATTAAAAATTTTTAGTTGCTAATCCTTTAGACAAGTAACTACTTTCTCAATTTATTCTTCTGCCTTACAACCTTCTATTAAGTTCAGTAAAAAAGATTAATTGTATACACTGCAAAACTAAGTTTTTTTTCCCAACGATAGTGTTGATATAAATTGAGTTCATAAAAGAGAGATATATCACACATTAAATGAATAAGTTGTATTTTCTGCAAGAGCAAAATAGTGTTTATTTGAATAAATCTTAAGTGAGAATATATATTGCAAACACTGCCAAATTATACTTTTCTTTAATAGAGTGTTAATTAAAATTTCACTTATGTGTAGTAGGTTTATTACAGATATTGCAAAGATAAGGTTTTTCTGCAGCATTAATTAGATAGTAATATATATTTTTGAGCATGTAAGATTTTATGCATTGCATTTCTCTTCCGTATGATCAAGAATATGTTTATTTAAATAAATTTTCTTTGAAAATGTTTTATCACATACACTACACGGATGAGACTTCTCTCCAGTATGAACAAAAGTATGCTTCTTTAAATTGCCTTTTTCTGCAAATGTTTTATCACATACACTGCATGCATAAGACTTCTCTCCAGTATGAAGAAGAGTATGTTTCTTTAAATTACCTTTCTCTGTGAATGTTTTATCACATACATTGCATGAATATGGTTTTTCTCCAGTATGAACAAGAAGGTGTTTATTTAATTGACCGGTCTGTGAGAATGTTTTATCACACACATTGCATGAATAAGGCTTATATCTAGTGTGGACAAGACTATGTTGATTTAAACTTTTTTTATGTGTGAAAGATTTATCACATACACTGCACAAATATGGCTTCTCACCAGTATGAACAAGACAATGTTGATTTAAACTTTTTTTATGTGTATAAGACTTATCACAAACACTGCATGAATAAGGTTTCTTCTCAGTCTGAACAAGATCTTGTTGATCTATACTTGTTTTAGACTTATCACTCATACTGCATGAATAAGATTTCATTCTGTTTTGCACAAAAAGTGCTTATTTCAATTAGTTTATATGTCGCTGTTTTGTCACATTAACTACAATAATAATGTTTTTGTTTTTCATCATTAAAAGTGACAGTTTATTTTTCTCTTGTGATACTCGGCTTGAATAAGACTTTATTTCACCATGACAGTGTTGTTCTTTACCATGATCTGAAATGTCTTAACCGTTATATAAAAGATTTATTATACATTGCACGGATGAGGTTTATATTTATCTTTCTGCCAGAGACTAAAAAAAAAAACACAGTTTCGGAATCAAAACTGAAATATACGCTATACCTAAAATAAGCAGTTCTGATTGCCTAATTTTGTTCAACCCGGCTTTCACGATAGATTCGCAAACTGAATTTGATTAAATTTTAAATCGCATTAGCGATGATAATTTAAGAAACTTGATCAGGAAGCTAATACTTTTATAGTATGAACTTCATATAATGTTATTAGATTGACATGTAATAATCCAGGGAACGTGAGCGATGTCTGAAACTGATACAGTAAAAATGTCCCTTAGAGCGATAAATAATAAGGATTATGACTTGTTTGTAACCGTACTTACACAAGTGTCAAGATTGTTTTGTAAACAAAGACTATCTTTTAAAACGTTTTTCGTGGACTAAAAATGGTTTATAACAAAAAAGAGTATGAAACTAACCTCAAATTTATCCAAGTTGCTACTGGTATACTTTGTATATCCGGACTGATTTTATCCATCTATGCTTATCATGTGGAAACTAAAAAGGAAGAAGATGAAAACTATACAGCAATGTGTGACATTTCTGAACATATGAGCTGCACTGCTGCATTTTCCTCGAAGTAAATTATTTAACCTTTACCTAATTTTAGAAAATTTGTTAAAAAATTTTTACGTTAATTTGTTCTTATTCTATTTGATTTTAGATATGGCAAAGGATTTGGCTTACTTCAACACGTTCTAGGAGAAAATTCCATATTGGTTCAACCAAACAGTGTGTATGGCATTATGTTCTACTTAGGATTCATACCTATTAGTAAGTTGGTTTATAAGTTTCTTTTTACATAAACGCAATAGTTTTTTTATTATCATTTATTTTATTAAAACCACAGTAGCTGGCTGTCCGGGAAAAATTGAAAGTGTTCCTTTTCTTTAAAAAAATTATTTTCTAGCACAGTGCTTAATTAGCTGCAATATATATTTATAGTCTGCAAACTATTTTTATGTTAAAAATATGAATATGTAGCAAAATTAAACAAATAATTTCTAGCCAATAGATGATTCTATTAAAATGCATTTACTTCTATTGATTTTAAATTTCGTGGTGAAAATATCATGTCTGTTAAATATTTATATAATTTCTTTGTAATAAAGGCTGAACAAATAAATTATAAAATAATAAATTATAAATAAAAATAAATTATAAAATAAAAAAATTATAAAATATAAAATAAATTAAAAAAATTATTATAAAATAAAAATTATTATAAAATAAAAAAATTATAAAATAAATTATAAAATAAAAAACAAATAAATTATAAATTTCTTAAATTAACAAATGTATGATGGAAAAATAACAGTACAACACCAACACTGAAGTGTCAGTATTAATTATAGTATGCTTTAGCGCTGAGAGAATGGCACATTTTGACAGGAATGTCAACATAGTTTAAAATCTTAGACCTTACACAGCGTAAATAAATAATTCTTTTGAAATTTATGAGCCGGATTTAACTTTTCAGATTCATAAAAGCTTATAAGAATTGTATGAATGAATTTTTTTACATAATTATTAAAAGTGCTTGACTCTTTGTATATAGTAATATGCCTTTACACTTGACAATTGTTATATGATCACTCTGATCAATTGTCATATGAAATCTCTGTTATTGTATATATATATATATATATAGTGAAACCTCCTGCTACGGACGCCTCTCAATTCGGACATATTTTTAATTCCCCGGAATGAACCATTATGTACATTCTCCGCAAAGTGGACACTCCCGTAACCGGGCGCAGACAGTCATTTTGGCCCTGAAGCATTATTTTCTATCTCTTCAAACTGGACACTACTTTTTCTAAATTTGAAAAAAAGAACTATTTTTGCTTTAAATTGCCAGATAAAAAAATGCAACTTTTCACCTTTTTTAAAGCATGTAAATTTTTTGCATTATCCATAACTAAAAATATTGTTTAGCTATTTCACTACTGAAGAATCAATCTTTCCCTTGTCACCTTGCCTTATCTTTGTAAAGAAAGGAGAGAAAATGATACTGCCCTCTTGAAATAATTCGGACATCGGCATCTTTTCATCTGGACCACACAGGTTATGAGACCCCTCAAGTTGAAATGACATCTTAAATGCTCTCAGTGCTTCTTCCCGTATTGAAAATTTCTTTATTTTTCTTATCAATTTGAAGACTGTATTTAACACAACTGGGGTAAAAAAAAAGCGAACAGAAGATTCTTTGAGGTGTTCATATAAATAAAACATTTATTCAGACACTTGATAACTGATCAATTGTGAATAATCAACTCCATAGGTCCTCATGACTTCAGGTATGCATTGCTTTTTTTCTTGAAACATGGGAGGTTTACTATCAAGAAGGTATTAACCATGTTCCATATCAAATGACAAGTATGTGTAAGAGGATGTAAACCTAATAATTGAAACCAGGGTTGGCAAGTTTTTGACACATGACGGTTTATACCATGGTTTTAACCGTCATGTCAACAACCCCTCTGTCAAAAACCCATAGTTTTGGTAAAACTGTATTTTTATTTGAGTTTAACTGCTTATAATTTAAAGTTAAATCATTTTAGGGCAATAAAATTAGAAAAAAAGTTGTTAAAAGATATTTATGAACAGATTCTTGCATCTAGAATTATGTATTTATAACAAACTTTTTATATTTGTATTCTTTTTAATATTTCTTAAAGTTTAAATAAATATCCTTGTAGATAGTTTTTGTAGATTATTTCATTATTTCTACATCTGTGAAAATATTCTAAAAACAATTTACTATGTTGAACTTCGTTATTAGGGTACCCTTCCTATAAACAGACAACTCTCATAAACAGGCAATTTTTTCGGTCCCAAGAATGTCCGCTTAATGGAGATTTTACTGTATATATATAAGGACAATGCATCTTATTATTGTGAAAATAAGGGATGTTGCAGATTTATTTAATCGAGGCATGAAATTTCAATATTACAGATGCTAGTCTCACTAAAATTTTTATCTGTTACTTTTTCATGAAAAAAATTGTCTATTTTTAATATGTTAACAGTTATAGTATGAAGGACTTTTTCTAGTGACCAGAACCATGACAGAATAAAGAAATCTTAAGAATTAAAACATATTTATAACAACAGTAATATTAAATTTAAAAAAAAAAACAGTTGTCCTAATGATTTCAGATGTTATGGTTACAGAGATGAAAAGGGGGGAGGAACCAGCATTTTGTGTTTATTTCAAATAGAAAATAGATCGCTTGATATCAAAACTTTTCTATGTGCTGTTTCACAGAGACATGATAATCTAAGTGTATACTAAACTCAACATTAAAAAAAAAATTTAACAAGTTCCTTCATATAGTTCAATAACATTTCACTGAAAATTCTGAATCCATTATCTAAATAACATTTTCATAAAGAAATTTTCTCATTCTGATACTAAGAGAAAGGTTGAAAAATATATCAAAATTTCTATTATAGAACTTAGCTGAAAATTTTTTATTTAACTCTTTCTTTTATATTTTTATTAATGTATTAGACAGTTCAAGGGCCAAGTTCAGAAGCGTTGGGGCCTCTTTTGGCCTTCAAGCTGTAGACCAGGGTTTCTTAACCTGTGGTTCATGAACTCCTAAGGGATCCATGAGTTATATTTTGGGGGTGTGCTGACTACTCCTAATTTTTAAAACGTTTGGAAGCCTACCCATTGCTTGTAAAGCGAACTATGTCAGCTATAATTCAGTTTGCTACAGTGTATCTTTGCGAAGCGGGATTTTCCACACTTGTGACAATACAAACACAACATCGAAATCGATTGAATGTTGAACATGATATTGCTTTGTCGAAAACCATCCCTCAATTAAATTGATTAATTAAGGGAAAGCAGCAACCTTCACCTTAAAAATTTTAATTTTAAAAATTTTGCATACTATTAAAATAATAAAATTAAATGTTTTCTAATAATTGATGTTTTTATAATTACTTTTTTCACAGGGTGGTGGTCCGTGACTTCTTAAAAAATTTTAAAAGGGGTCCATTATATCAAAAAGGTTAAGAAACACTGCTGTAGACTGTGCATCCCTGATTTAAGCTATTTGCAGCAGAATAACAGTTAATATTCGAAACTTTACTGTACTATCTGGCTTTTATGTTTTTTTCATTGTCGGTTGTGTCCTTTATTTTAACCACGCTAAAAAATATATGAGTCTAAAAATTGCTGATTATTATGAGTGTGTTTCTAACATTACTTAATTAACTACAATTTGCCCTTACTTTCATTTCTTTTGTGTTAGAATTAGCTTTAATTTTTATATAATTTGCAGTTGCACTAAAATAAAAAGTGTTTAATTTTGTTGTCTGCATTAAAAGAGTTTAAATAGAATACTTTGAAAAATATGTATATTTTTAAGAATAATTTTACCTTAATTTTTATAACCATCTACTAATCTGCAATTTTTTTAAAATAGCACTCAAATGTTTGCTTACACATTTTTCTATCCTGAAATCAATGATTAAATTAAATATAAGAAAAATCTTACCAGTTGTAAAAAGTATAAATCAGAGGCCTGCTTACTCATATAAAGAAAAATCTTGAAAGACTTTTTCAATTATTTCTGCAGTTTGAAGAAGAAAAACTTTGGTTTCTTTTTGATAGAGGAAATAAAAATTAGTTATTAAATCTTAAGAATTGATCATTTAATTTATAAAGAAGATGAACATTGACAGTTGCTTTGGAATTTCAAGCACCTATGCATTTACACTCATGCCTTCAGCACTGTGTTAATAAAATTTTAATGAATCACTGAAACTTTTACTGTGAAATATCTCCAACTTGACATTCATATTAAATTCAAGAACAGATAAATAATAATAAAAACATTTGAAGTAATATACTCAGTCAGTGAAGTAATATTTTTGTAACATTAATTTTAATTATTTTTGTTGTTGTTAATTCTTGTTTAAATTCAACTTAATTTAATGTTAATTTTTAATAGATATTTTCCTTTTTAGGTGAAGTTCGAAACCTCACAGTATCTAGACTCATAATTTTAGTGGCTTGCATTTCAAATGCTTGTTCAGTTTATCTTGCCTACATTTTGATGTTTATTTTGTATGATTTCTGTGTTGTTTGTGTTACAACATATCTTCTCAATGCATTATTGCTAATCTGTAGTATATTTCGATACAGGTATCATGTTATTTATTTAGAAAGGAACTCAAGTAAAAAGAAAAAGTAATTTTTGATTCTTAGGAAGATTTCAAAAAACAAAATTTATTTTCATGGTAAATTTAAAAGTCATTTAATTTGTTTTATATCATTGTATTATAATTTTGCTATCAGAATATTTTAAAATTCATTATCTATATTTTCTAGCTTTGTATTATTTGTATAAATAAATATATGTATATAAGGAAATGATAAGAGTGAAATGTTTTGTTTACTTCAGGTGGAACTTATCTTAACAGAAAAGTGAAAGTACAAGTTGAATGAAAATTGAATAGCTTGTACAACAAAAGTTTTAATTTAAAAAAAAAAAAAAATTTATTTTGTTCTTATTTAATAATACAACAGAAATTTATTTTCGACAAGTAATTATATCTTTGAAATTTGAGTGGGTGAAGGTATTAAGTGACATCTTTGAGTGTTGTCGGGGTATAAAAAATGTTCCAAGTCATTTTGCAACAGTCATAAAGTAACCTTAGGAAGACTTTTGGCAACAAAATTAAAATGTCATGACAGCTTAATGGCCTTTAGAGATTTATAGAATTTTCCAATTAGAAGCTTGTGCCCACTAAATTATAAAAATTGTATTTGCTGTTATCATTAACTATATCAAACTATTTTCATTATAAAAACTTATTCGACTAAAATTCAATTTAACTATCAAGCTTTACTTGTTCAATTTTCACATGAAATTGTTTGAATAACACAAAATACCTTAATCCATAATCAGAATTATGTTTGCATTTGTAAAAGCTATACATGAAGTTCTGTTTACTTTGTATTGTCGCATTATTTATTTTCATGTTTTTGCTTCAATGGTTTTCCAATATTTTCATTTGTGGTTTATTTTATTTCCTGCTGAAGTATGTAGCTTGTTGCACAAGTAGCATAACTTAGATTTATTTTTTATAAGATGTTATTATACTATCAAAACAGGTTATTTTCATTGCTTTATAATAACATTACACAGGAATGTTACAGTTGAATGTGATTTTCAAATTATTGTTTTATGCTGGAATAATTAATGCTTATTTAGTGGCGGTCCACTCTCAGTACCAGTTCTTGAGGTGACAGAAAATTTTGTTTTGTTGCAAATAACTTAAATCTTTAATTGTAGTTATATTTTTTTCTGAATGTTTTTTTTTTATTTGGCATAGAACTTCTGATTAATTTAGTTCATTAGTAAATGTAAAAAATATGCACTTTCCGAGTACTTCATCAGTACAAAAAAAAAATACTTAACCACATTTATTTGAGAAGATCTCCTTCACAGTATCAATACACTTTTTTATGCCATAAATTTTTGATTTTTAGCCTTGGTTATTTGATATCTGTTGGTTGGTCTGATTTTAATCCTATTTAATAGTTTTCATTAAATTAAGCTGTTTTTAATAAAATTGGACAAAATTTTCCACTTTGTTATAAATCTCAATTGAAATAATTCTTTACTCTATAAATTTAAATTTTCATGCTCAAAGTAGTGACAAGTTTAAACTTAGCCCTCGATGCTAACAGATTTGGCTAGGCTACCATAGTTATGACTATTAAATTTTTTTGTTTCCAAAAAAATAAAATATCAAAATTACATAACATTACTGTATTTGAGTTCTAATGTATATGGCAAAGTTATTATTATTCTTGTAATATAAGCCTTTTTCTTAATCTGTGAAGATATGATTCTTTGAATTAAAAAAAGTTTTTCACTTTGAAATACAGTCATATTTAAAAAGAAAAGGATTTAGCTTCCTAAGTTTATATTAACCTTAGTTTTTTTTAAACTAAATTATGAGTATCTAGTATTAAAAAATATAAGACAAATTAGTTTTATTTATATTTTATGAACAATTTTATTTGTAGGCAGTCACCTTTTCTGGAATAACTGTAACTTATAAAATACAACTTTGCTTTTCATATATTTATTCATCAACGTCCTTAATAGAGCATGATTTTAATTAAACTAATTAATTATGCACGGTTTAATGCATAGCCCTACTCCTGTAACACTATTTCAATTTGCTTGGTCTATAGTCTAAGTAAAATAGATGTTCACTTAAAACTCCTTTGCTTTAAAGGTTCTGCATAACAACTGTGTCCTGAGCAATAAATAAAAACCATAGATTGTTGATAAAATATCAACCTTTAATGTACAAAAGTTTTGACAATAACAGTTAAGTGAAAATAATAGAAATGAAGCATTTTTAATTGTGATATGTCCAGATCAAATACATAAAAAATTTAAAAATAAAACAGGGTGGAAATGAATCTTAAAACATGACAGCATTGCATAATAAAAAAACTTGGATTTATTGAATCATTATTAGAGTGAGCAATAACCAGGACTTCGATGTTCTATTCACATCGATTGTAAACCCTAGTGCTTTCGATATCATCAACTTTGCATATCTAGATGAGAGAAAAAATGCATATAAACACCAAATGAATTTTTTTTAAGAATATAATTTTATTGAAACACTGTAATAAACAGAGTGTTCCATAATGATCACATCAATCTCTTTTTTAAATCTTGATCAAAATTAAAATTTTAAAAAAAAGCATGCACATAAGGTATTAGTGATTAATATTTAAGCAAGGAGAGAAAAAAGAAACATTGAAATCTAACAATTGACTAATGATGAAGGGATAACTTCAAAACATGTCCTAATTTATGAAGGAAACTGAAAGGAGGTTCGTAAAAGCATCTCCAAGTTTCATCGGGCAATCAAATCGATCATGGAATATCAATTCATTATAAACGATGAAACAGATATGAATAGCTTTGTACCAATTTACCCCTTTTATAAACTATTTTTATATTAATACGTTTTATATCTTTAATTTTGCATTTTCCTGGAAACAATACTTTAAATTACACTAAAAAAATTAAGGATAAAAAAAGCCAAGATAATTTATTAACATTTAAAAAATATAACACAATGAAAACTTTTAAAATTTACATAAAGCTACAAATTTAAACTGCTGAGTTACACAAAAAATAGTCTGCTCCCCCATCCAGTGAAATAAAAATTCCATACTTTTTAAAAGAATTTACAATAACATTATTTGAGGAGAAATGTATCATATCCAGAAAGAACAATGTGAAATGCATTTAACTTCAGAAAATTTTAAGATTTAGTACTTTCTTTTAATTTTAAAATTTTTTATATTGCTTTTTTTTTCGGTGGTCAACAATACAACCGACATATAGAAAATTTGAAACATATAGTCAAAAACAACTTATCGGGGTTGACTTATACACTGGTAAATACAAGAATTATAAAATTTGGTTTTACTAAAATCATTTATATAGTAGTATAAAATTAGTTATTTAAACTTAAGAAATTCATCAAATTTTTTTTTCCAACTGTGGATTTTCAGTTTTTTGTTGTTTTAAAAATGATATAAAACAGCTTGATAATACTTTAGTTTTAACTAGATTGCAATAATAAACTGTTTTATTATTTAATATTTCTTTTGGAAAAAAAAGTTTTTTCACTGTAGTTAAAAGAAATCTATTCCTTTCAGGGCATTTTTCTTTTCATGATTTTTTCAACCGTGAAAAAACAAAACCAATCATCCATGATATTTCAAATAAAAATATCAATATTTAAAATTATACTTACAGTTTTCATTGTATCTCCTTCAACTTCTCTGATTATAGTAACTTCTTTATCTCCACATTGTTTCTGAACCAATTTACCATCTTCCAAAACAACAGTAGTCTGTAAAGAGTTAAAACAGTTGCAAAAGGTGTAAGCTTTTTTTCTGCACACAAAATTTAAAAGAAATCATAGAAATGCCTATAAAGATGTTATAGTTTGTACTATATATATGGTTCTATATAAATGGTTCATACCAGCAATGGTACTATATAAATGGTTCATACCAGCAATAAAAATATCATGGTTCAATAGGACTTCCTAGATTTAGTGGTCCAGAAATTTAATATAATAGACGAACTAGTGAAAAGAACTTAACTATTGCATAATTCATGTTATGGTACACATCAAAAATCATTAACTGCCATCTATTTCACCAAAAAAATAATTAGGTTCATTACTCCACAATGACTGGAGATTAAAATTAATTCTTTAAAAAAAAAGGCTAAAATGTTAGTAAATAGTTTTAACATACAGATTAAAATGCTGGGACTAAATAAACAGATAAATTAGGACAACAGGGAAAGTAAGAACTGAAGAAATATTTTGTTAAAAATTAATTATCTAAAAATTATGAAATTCTAAATATAATCAAATTAAAATAATGTTTTATTAATGAACAATAATACTGTCAGAACTTGAATGCAAAGCACAGCACAACATATAAATTTGAAATTTCAACATTTAAATTAAAAAATTTTTGTACCAAACACTTTCAGATATTCCCATTTAAAACATAACTAAAAGAAAACTTAATCTACACGTATAAGAATAAAATTGACAAAAAAAATTTTTTTTTAAATTCTCAGAATTTGAATGAAAAAAAAATTTTCATTACTCTATTTTGAAACTTCCAAACCTATTTCAAAACGACAATTTTGTCGGCCATGCGTGTGATTTTAGCAAAGATTGTAGAACATATGGAGACAATCATAATGGCGTGCACCCTGTATATAAATGTGTAAATTATAGTTGTGTAACATTATAGTTTCCTAGAATATTTACAAGTTTAAAAGAATAGCTCAATTCATTTTATGTAGTCTTGAAACTCCTTTTACTTTATTGGCATTATAGCCCAGGGTGGGCTTTAGCCTGCCACACAATGTTTTTCCAGATATCATGCAAGACATCGTACATCCACCTCTTCTGCTGTTTGGTTCTATTACACATGTGCTTCCAATGCAAGATCTTAACAACTCTATTGTCTGGTGACCTTTCAATATGACCAAGCCATAAAAGTATCTTGAAACCCCAGTCAACTTAAATTTAATTTTAAAATCCCAAGGACTAAAGCATGTGTTAGTAATAATAATAAATATAAGCTTATGAGAAATTTTTGCTCCTTTGAATTAAAATATTTCACCAATTTTGATGTGAAACCAATTTTTTCCCACTGCAATTTTTAAAAATCTGTTGCAAAAAAATAATAATTTATAAACACAACAGTAATGCACAACCTGTGATAGTGGCTGATAAATGGCCCATAAAGCCTAATGGTCCCTAACTATTTTAAATTTAATAAAACATCAAAGAAAAAGTAACAGAAAAAAAATCTTTCAGCAGCAGCAGTTCCCAATTTTTTTGGACTACGGAATCCTAAATAATCAACTTTTTTTTTCAGCGGAACACAACCTTATAAATAAAGTTTATTAAGGTAATTATGAATGTTAAACCTATAAAAAGACTTTAAAAAATAATTAATTAGTGGTATGAAGATTTTCCATCATTTGATCATTAATAATCTTCTTAAATTAGGCTTTTGTCCGACAGTTAAATTTGAAGTCCTTGTGCTATATCTAGTCTAGTTATGAATTTGTTTTTGTTGTTTATACATAAGCTGAAAATGAACAAAATAAGTATAAACAAGTCGAAAACTTAGAAAAACTGCTATAAACTTCCAAAATGGTTATTAGGGAAAATATTATTAATTCATTAAAGAATAAAAAATAAAAAAATTTGAAAAGCCCGATAGCAAATACAAATGCAATATTTTATAAATACTTCTTCTTTCAATAATTTGTTCAATATGTTGTTATAAGAAATATATTTTCTTTTAAAAAAAGTCACTTCAATTTCATTGGCATTTTACTTGAAATAATTTCAGAAAGGCAATTGAAAGATTAAATAAATGAATAAATGTTGGATCTAAATATAATCAGAAGCTTCAAAACTCATCACTGGTTTTAAAAAGTACCAACTCATGGAACCCTCGTGTTCCGCAGAATACCATTTGGGAACTGCTGCTTCAACATATTAAGTTTCTGAACTTCTTTTTTCCATAAGCTAAAATACGTTGTAATTTGCTTTGTAGTTTTTTTTAACTACAGTATATACACTTGTAACTAAAACGCATTAGTAAATAAATATATTTATTAACATTAAATATTTTTAAACATTAAGTATTTTTGTTTATTTATTGCAATTTTTATAATTTGCATAGGAGTAAGGAAAAATTAGGATCACAGTTGTAAGTCATCCACATTACTTTCAAATATAATCTAAATATATTAATTTACGATTACAGCTTTATTTTAATTTTAGAGTCAACATGCATTTTTGATTTTGTAGCACTAAGTGGTAGGGGATCCGCAACATCGTAGGGTGATCACAATCACCATTCTTAAATTGTCAGATTACAGATCAAAAATTAAGTAAAAAAAAGGTACATAAAATAAGGTTCACAAATATAAAACTTAGGCAGTTATTAAAAAAAAACGCCTATGAAATCACTGAAATCCCCATTGAGAAAGGGGTGGTGAAAAACATCAAAAATAGATCGATGTCTTTAGTTCTGCCTTCCTCGTTAGTAATTTCTAAAATCCGTTAGTGTTTAAGTTTCTCCTTCGCTTAAGGAACTTTGGGAACCTCAATATGTACAATTTCTTTTGCTTCATTTTCATCAAGAATTCCAAAATATATGATAACGGCGATCATTAGTAAGATTATTTTTGCAAACGTTTTGAATGCTATGATAGTTTTGATCCTTCATTTGAGTTTCTTTAAAAAAAAATTTTTTTTTACTGAAATATTGTTTTAACTTAAAAGATTATAAGGTATGAAGTAATTTAAAGTGGAATACCTTACAAACACTGCCATCCATTCGAGTCTCTTCAAACTCCTCGTTCAACTTAAATTTGAGCTCTGTTGTTTTGAAGGTGGTAGTTGTCTTTAAAATAAATTGATCGCCATCTTGCTTTATCTCAACCACAGGCTTAGACATAACACCTGCTTTGCGCATAACAAGGCCCACACCTGAAAAAAAAAAGTAATATTTAAGTAAATTTAAACGTTAGTTTACAAAAGTGATAATTATATTGAATAATATTAGCCTTTTTAACCTGCAATATATTATTTGTGTGGGGGAAAAAAAGGAAAGTTAATCATTTTTTTTCATAAGTTTCGTTTCTACTATGAAACATTATAGAATTATACATTCAGGTTTCCTGCAGTTTAAACGCTGTACAGTGAGCCAAAACAGAAACAAAAAAAGGATTACTCTGGATAACTTTTGATCTTATAATAGGATCTTCGCGTTTTAAGATTTAATCTTAATGGTTCAAGAGGGTGACCTCAAATATGTTACAATTAATAAGTGCAAGTGATATTTTATGTTACAAAATCAGATACAAAAACATACTTTCTGTGAAGAATCACGCCTTTTTTTCAAAGGATTCGAATTTCTGTTTAGCAATTTTTTTCTTTTTCATTCTTTCCGTTTTCATTTTTTGAGGAGTTCAAAATATCCGTCATAAAAACTCGAAATTACGAATAGGTGTCAAATACAAGAGAGTAAGACGGAAATTTTTTTCTTTTTAATTAACAATCGTTTCTTAAATTTATTTTTTTAAAAAATTTTATTAGTTTGAGAATTATTAACAATTAAACTTAAAGAAAAAAACAAATACCATAAGAGTCGATCAGCAGCCCGCGGAGATGCAAGTACGAAGTAAAAATTCAATATTCTGAAAGAGCCATTTTTATTCTTCCTTTTAGACTATATTTTAGATTTTTTTCCTTCTTTTTTCCGTTTGTGCAAATTATTATTTTTCAAATCTAGGTAATCAAATCACTCATTTCATAACATATTAACAAATGTATAAAAACGCTACAATTGTATATTTTGTTAACAAAATGTTCTTTTTTTTTCGTATTGGAAAATATCGGCTTTTGGAAGGGGGAAAAACAAAGATAAATGAAGAGCGAAGCAGGAACTCAAGCCCCCTCCCTCGTAGCATAAATAGTAACATTAAGAATTTATTTATTTATTTTTTTAAAAAAGGTAGAAAATTTTTAAAATTGCTCCTCCCAGAAAAAATTTTGTTATCAGGGGTCTGTCCAGACATTTTGTGAAAGGTCCGTTTTTCGCGAAATAGTGAAAAAATTACTCACATTCTTTCAACCAGGGTCCGCTTTTATGAATTTGTGCAAATAGGGTCCGGTTATTGCAAAAAACTTTTTCAAGGAGTTTTTAAATTGTAAATGATACAAGATTACGGTCGGCACTGTAAAATTATATTAAAAAAATTAAATTTTCAAAAATAAACAGCAATCGCTGCTTCTAAATTACAGATGCAACATACAAATATTTGGTATTTAGCCTATACTGCTGAACGCAGAATATTCATTTAGGACGAATAATGGAAGAATCGTCTGCCGAAGACAAAACTTAATTCGNATATATAAGACTAGCCGCAACTGGGAAATATTGTCCCCATACTTTGGCCGGGAGAGCGATTTAAAGTTTGGACCCCTTAATGTTAATTTTACTCTTTGCTTATTTCGTCATACCTCCAGCACTTTTTAAGTGACTTAAAAATATAGCACACAATTGAGTACTTGTATTTCAAGAAGATCACTGATACCCACACATGTGATCTATGACGTCAGCGCCAGCTGATCTTTGATAGTTGTAGTTCATTTACGTCGCACTAGAGCTGCACAATGGGCTATTGGCGACGGTCTGGGAAACATCCCAGGATGATTCGAAGACATGCCATCACAATTTTGATCCTCTGCAGAGGGGAAGGCACCCCCGCTTCGGTAGCCCGACGACTTGCACGCGAAGTCGAGCACTTTACGGTAGAACAGTTTAACGAGGACCAATACCGCACACCCACGGTCCCTACGCAGACTGATCCAAGTGGTCACCCACCCACACACTGACCGCAGACCGGGACGCTGATCTTTGATAAAAAGAATGGTGTGTTTAAGTTGGGCTAAGTTTCTCTACACAAGTTATAATGTCAATTAACGTGAAGTTAATTAAAAACAGTGCCGTCTTCAAATTTGATGAAATAGAATTCTTACTCGTCTACGTCTTTTACTTAATTTAGATTTATTATTTGGTAACTATTGTACTGTAACGGTGATATATTTTTGTTTTATGTCCCTAGAAACTTCGATGCATTGATGCATAATTAGTTTATGTTCTACATGGGTTCCTGCCTGTCTTTGTGTTAAGTAAGAAATATAAAGTGAAAGAATTAAAATTGTGAAGGAATATAGAATGTGTCATTTAAGGGAATTGATACTTGACGGGCTTGGCTTACTCGAAATAGAATAGAAAGAACAGTTGCTAACGAGTAAAAAAAAAGCCACGTTTCAATAACCAATCAGGCTCGAGATACCCACACTACATCACTTGCAGGTATTACATTATAAAATTCGTTTATCCATAGATAATTCTATGCAAGAACAAAAAAAATTAGTAAATATTTATTATAGTCGAAAATTTACAAAATGTTTTACATTACTTTAAAGTATGTAATTTTAGATGGCAAAATACAAAATGTGTGCAATATCGGTTGAATAGTTCCTGAGAAATTGAACTTTAGATATACGACTTTCATAAAATTCGATTTCTCAGGAATATTCAACAAATTTCTTTCAAATTTTGTATTTTGAAATGTAAAATTAGATACCATAAAATAATGTAGAAAATTGTATTACTTACAACTCAAAAAAATTTTTTTTGGACTCTTATTAAATAAAATAATAAAAATTGATTAATATTTACTAAAATTTATTTTTTGCATGGATTTATCTTTGGACAAACGAATTTTATAGTTGTGTGCAAAATTTTTTCAATTCGCTGGGAAAGTTCTCGAGATATGTCAAAACACGCAAAAAGTAAAATTAGCATTAAAGGGACCTAACTTAGGATCGCTCTCCTGACCTAACTAAAGGACCCCAGATTATTTTGGGTCTTTTATTAATTTCCCATATTATTTTGAGAGTCAGAAATCCGAATCCGATGAATAAAAGGTATGTTTATTCTGAGAAAGTACGTTTTTGTGTCTGATTTGGTACCTTAAAATATCATCTACCCTTTTTAGTTAGCATATTTAAGGTCACCCTTTCAAACCATTAAGAATGAGTCCTAGAACGTGAAGATCCGATCATTAGAAAAAAAGTTAGTAAGGGTGGTCCTTTTTTTTTTTTTGGCGCACTGGACTTTTTTGGAGATCTTATAAAAAACGAAGCCTAAAGTACTAAAATGTTTCCCAAAAACAATGATATTTAATCATATAAAGCATTTAATTATTTCTTTTTACATTAAAAAAAAATCGCAAGAGGTGTCGCTGTTTTGGGTGTTAATGTTTACGGCGAAACATTTAGATTTCGCAGCGTCAAAACTAATAGATTTAAAATTACGAAGGTATGTAGAATAATGTGCATGGAGAACGATAACATTCAATAATTAGTTTAAGAATTATTGATTGCTAAACTTGTAGTCGCAGGAATGGAACTGCATGGTTGAAATTTGATGTGCAGAAAGGGCCATATTTGCTTATGAACTTAACTCGAGGTTTCTTGAAATTTTAATTTGTTCGAAAAGTATTGTAATCTTAAGTGTTCGCGTTACAAAATTTTTTCATTCCTTGCGGCGTTAAAAAATATACGTCGTAAAAACTTGAAATTACGAATAGGTGTCGAATACAAGAGAGTACGACGGATTTTTTAAAAATTAACAATCGTTTCTAAAATTTATTTAAAAAAAAAGGTAATTAGTTCGAAAATTATTAACAGTTAAACTTTAAGTAAAAAATACCATGCGAGTCATAGTGATAATTAGTTGTAATGATAATTAGTCGCATGATTATCCTGAGTAAAAAATACCCGGCGGAAAACCAACCACGCAGTTAAAATTTAATATTCTGAAAGAGTCATTTTTATTTGTGTACTTAACACAAGTTTTTTTATGCATTAAATATTAATTATTTCTCCATTGTCGTATAAAAATATATCTCTTCCCGAAATCTATATTTTGAGAGGTCGCGTTTGAATTGAAGTCGAAAAGAAAAGTAAAAAGAGAGAGGTAGAGAAGTTACCAGTTATTAATTTAACATTTATTTTAAAATTTTAAAAGGAAAAAAAGAAATAAAAAACTTCGTGCTGGAGATATAGTAACAGTTTCCTTTTAGACTGTATATTTTAGGTTTTTTTTTCCTTCTTTTTTTCGTTGGTGCAAATTATTATCTTTCAAATCTAGGTAATCACTCATTTCTTAACATATTAACAAATGTGTAAAAACACTACAATTGTATGTTTCGTTAACAAAATGTTCCTTTTTTTCCCCGTATTGGAAAATGTCGACTTTTAAGAGAAGGGGAGGGGGAACCAAAGATAAATGAAGAGCAATTATGGGGGTTTGTGAGCGGAGTAAGCTGGGAGTCAAGCCCCCCCCCCCCTCTCGTAGCATGAATTAACATCGAGAATTTATTTAGTTATTTTTTTTAAAAAAGGCCGAAAAATTTTTAAATAGCTCCGCCCAGAAAAAATTTTGCTATGATGGCGATTTAATATCCGAGACACAGCGATGTGAAAAGAATCGGCTAACTAGTGTTAATTTTCTCGGTTGACTATCAATAAATTGCATAATAACGTGATAGTAAAAACAAAACATCTTATCAGAATAGATGACTTGTTGAGATACACGGTTGCCACCTTGCTATTCTTTTTGACATCAGATAAGCTTCAAACGTTGAGAAGCGGCACATACAAACAAAACGAAAACTCGCTAAGTAGTTTTGATTCATCTGATACGCTTTGCACACGACAGAAAGAAAAGTAAATAAATAAATAAAAATGTAGTTAATTATCAATTCGCGCACGCCAGGAAGGGACGTGAACGGAAACATGATTTCATTACATTAAAGAACGACACAGACATAAATGATAAAAATTTTGATGTAGTCGTGGAATGATTTGCTGAAAATAATAATACATGGATGAAATTTCGTGGACTCATG